AACTTCATTCTGCAGTGTTTTTATAACAAAGAACTGTGTCTGTCTTTTCCTAGAGCCAGAACTTGTATCAGTCCGGTCTGAGAACTAAATGTTTATCCTCAAATATACTTAATTCAAAGAGTTTGTTCATGAGTAAAAAAAAACCCCTTCTGTCTGTTTGGTACTGCATTCCAATACAGATTGTAAGCAAATAGACAAATTAAAGTGAATTGGAGCTTTCAATCCCTTCTCCTGTGTAGCTATCCCTGGTGAATTTAAGTGAATCGATGAATAAACCTCTTCTTTTATATGAATGTTGGAAAAGAGAAAATTTTTTAAATAGTACCAGTGACCCTCTGCCATTCTCCTCTATTCAGAAGTAGCCCCTAATGAACCCTGAAGGTATAAATGCACCTCTGTGTGTTTCAAAAAGTACTCTTTAAAAAAAATAAGGAATTCACACAATTCTATGAGGTCTAATTATGAATACAAAGAAAGATATATGGGATGGGTTTTCATTTATTCTGTTGCTTTTTTTACATTTTCCAACATTTAATAGTGCTTGGGGAGTGCTGGACATCCATTATATGTGGTGGTGTACAGACCCCTTTACCGAGCCAGATTCTTACAAAGGGAATCTAGAGTAATAATGAATAATAAAAAAATTGATCATATGACAGAGGCACACTGTGTTTCAGGGTTGTAGGTGTTATGGCAGATCTTCAGTTATGACACCCAGATAATTGCTGATGACAAACTGTATATTCTGAAGCTGCTGCACTCCCACAAAGGGACCTTTGTTTGGCGCTGTGGATGTATGCAAGACCTCCTGCTGCTCTGCTGCCAGCACTGCCATCACTGAGCCCACATTTCCAGTGAATTCTAACCCACCCTCCCACAGAGCAAGGAGTCAGAAGACCTCACACTGAGAGCACACAGAGAGCAGCTGTACACAAAACTCAGAAAAGAAAGTTTGCTAGAGCCTCACAGTCCATTATTTGAAAAAGACAGCATGAATCAGCCTGTGTGCTCCTGAAGTGATGCTCCAGAAGCAATTCCACAGCAAGTAAATGCCACACTCCCCATAGGCATTGGTGCATTGCCTGACTGCACTCTGGAAACTGAGCCTGTTTCTTCAAACTCTCATTTCCATATGGCATTTTCTTATCCAGAGCTGTACCAGAAATAACTAACAAAAGCATGAGGCTAAAGGAGAGCCTCTTGCTAAGAAAAACACCATGCTGGATGTCTCTCAAGTGCATATTTGCAAGTGGTTTGATTTTTAGAAGGTGTGAGTGTGTGTCAGTTTTCATACAGGGAACTGACTGCGGGGTGTTCTGCTCTTTGAAAAATAAGACACACACACATATGTATGTATATATATGTCTCTAGACAGACATACATACATAGGAGTCTAATTTTATGCTTCCAGCTGCAAGTATTTTGACTCATATCTTTTGTATCCACATATCCCATAACACATATCTACATAACACAGGTAGGCTAAATAAATATATGGTGCTGCTAATAGCCCAAAGGTGTTATTTCCCATATAATAGGCATTATTTGCCACTCCATATAGAATGCTTGCCCTAAACCCAATGCTTGCTTTGTGTCTGTGCTGCAGTGAATCTATCTCACAAGGCTGAGGATAGGCACCATGCCATCCTGACAGATGGGCCTGATGGCCAGGAGACCATGTATGTGCATCCAGTGTGGGTGAGACTGAGGGGAGCCTTTGCCAGGGAGTTTTAAACAGCTCTGTGTTTTGGTTGTACCTACTGCAAGGAGAATTGTGTAGGCTTACATTACATGAGGTCTATGCAAGTGCAGAGATTGGAAAGGGAGCATCACGTGTGTAAAGAAAATCTGTTCCAATAGCTACAAATCAGTGACATCCACTGAGAAAAGGTGAGGTGGTGTTATGGAATTCCACACCCCTCTAGCTCTCTTTGGAAAGACCAAGCACAACTAATCATGACAAGTTAATTTGTCTGAACATGCCGGCAAGGGTGCAGAAACCTGTTGCACAGGCTTTCTTCCTGTCCCAAAGGCACATAATATTTAGTAAAGCAAAGGCCTAACTTTCAAGTAACAAGAAGATACTGCTCTTCATATGGTATAAAAATCTGCTCAATAAAGGAGCAATGTGAATTTAGTTCATATCTTTAAAATAAACCATTAAATGCCCTGTGAACAATTTGGCAGTTGCAGGAGTAGAAGTTAAAATACTGCTTTCAAAAATTATTTCCTTAAAGAATTTGCATCCTCAGGTCAGGTCTGTCTGTGTGTTTGTTCAGACCTGAAGAGAAACACCATATAACCTGTATTTATTCAGTGCTCTGAAAAGGTGAAGCACAATCAGTGCTATTTTCTTCACAGTCATGAATTTTATTCATACCCATACCCAGAAAAATCTACATAAAAATAAGGTCTGTCATCTAAAAACAATTAAGTGGCACTTCAACTGTTGTCTTGAACTATTTTTCAGTTAAAATTTAGGCAATGATCAAAGATTTAGCACAGTACGTGCAGTAACCAGTGAAATAAGCTTATGGAAAAAAACATACTTCAGTATAACATACATATTTTAAAAACATTTAGCTGTTCAGCAAACCAGCTGATCAGTACATAGCAAAAATTGCATACAGAAAAAAAATAGAGAAAGCATAGCCATATTAAGATGAATTATATGTGTGAGGAAAGTGATAGAAGTTCTTCCTATACACAAGCTTAAGTGCCAGGTAGAGCAAGGGAGCTGGGAAGCAGCAAAAAAATTGGTAGAAGGTGTTGTTGGCAGTTTTAAAAATATTCACTGGGTCTTCTTTCAAATTAAAAAGTCAGATTCCTGTCATTACAGTCATTAAAGGCAATTTTGTTGTTTTCTAGGATGGGTGTTTTTCTGTATCTCAAATGATCACTCAAAAAGACAATACTTTCAAAGGCGCATCCTCCCACAATGAGTGGATCAGCAATGAAATTCTTCTGGCCCTCTCCTTCTCCCATTACAAGGGCTCATGTTTTTAGGACTGACATGCCAAATCTTAATTCTTAGTAATAGTAAAAATTTTAAAAATAACAAAAGAAAGTTAAACTCTAAGCCAGCTGCAGCCACCGTGTTGAAAAATGCAATTTATTACTCTGGCAGCATGGGAAACCAAGGAGCAGTTAGTCAGCTTCCTTCCAGCTCCAGACTTTTCAGTAGCTTTTATTGTGTTTTGTTTATTGAATTAACCCTTGAGAGCAGTTTTTTTTGGGAATGCATTCAGCATTAAAGAACTCAGCCACAATGCAAACATGTTGCAGATACAAATTTGGGCTTGTGCTTAGCCTGAAGGTGTAAGAAAAGGGCAAAGGTGACGTAGAGAAACTTTATGCCTCCCTATTTGGTGTATTGATGTAGCCATGAACACAAGCTACCTTACGCCTCAAGGGCTGTTCTGGTATCTGTGGACAGCTGAGATATTTACACATTTTTTGCATTGTTGTGTCCTGCATTGCAAGGTATGGAGCTACCATGGGAGTACTCCAGACCCACTTATTCCTTGTGGACCAAATTCTGTCAGAAGAGAGTTGGTCCTTATGGATGTACTCTGCAGCTTTCCTCAGGGCACTGCAGTCACAAGTGTGTGTATGCACACATAACATGTATTTCTAAGTACATCTTTTAAAATCTAAACGTACTTCAAAACTTTTTGATACCTGAAAAACATAGTCATTTTAGTTCTCAGAGTTTCTGAAGTTCAGGAACATGCTGCATTATTATCCAGATGATATCAATACATTAATATCCTGCCTTCTGCCATCTCAGATATTTTTTATTTGGTCTTTGGAGCCATTTTATTATAAACTCGATTCATCAAATAAAAAGTGATCCTCTCCATGTACCCTTCCAAATTTTTAGTGTTCTTTTAAAAGACGGAAAAGCACAATCTAAAAAATGTTGCATTTAAAGTATATTAAATTAAGTATAGTACCTTATGTATAATTGGAGAACCTACTGTTTAATATAGACATTGCAGATACGTAAAAATTATTTGAAATGTTAATATTTAGCTACATATTATTGCTCAAATTGTAAATTAACGGTTACAATGGGAGAAGGAAATAAGAATATATATCCAATCAAAATCAACCACACAGGCTAAATGGTTGAACTATTTAAAAATTAATGTAAATTGCTTTTCTCTTTACCTGAACATGTTCTACAGATTACAAAGCACACAGATCAAGAATAAGCCAGTGGTGTAATTCTTTGATGTTTAATATAAACCTTCATATGTAATTCCTAGAATACATTGCACTATTCAATAAATTCTACTTTAAGGTACTGCTTTTTATAATGGAATTAAGAAAAGAAATAAAATGTTAGATTTTTTTTAAATTTCAGTGTGAATCTTGTACATTCTTGCTATCAAGAAGAACCTCATTAGTAAAGTGCGTTCTTGGACTTTCACAGGCCTCAAGATACTCTGGATAGGTAACCTGTGGAAAAAAAAGTTACAAAATTTTCCTGGTAGAATAAAAATCATTTGCAAGCTGTAGCGGGGTCTACAACATTATCTTTGGTAGTCTTTCTCACTCCTCTTAAAAAAGCAACCTTGCAGTTCCTTAATGCTGTTCTCCAGAATCTTTGTTTTAATTCTTGTCTTTATCTGTACACAAATAAGCCCTTTCTTAGGGAAAGTGTTTTTAATAGGCTGCATATTGAACAAGTAATGCTTTCATTGCTATTCGAATTGCAGTGGAAGCCTCCAAAACATAACCAGAATTAGACCTCTGTCATGGGTGCATCAGCACCTTCCCCCTTTCCTGTCCCAGGGATGTGCATGGGGGAACTCTCCAAATCAGATTAGAATAGCTCTGAGGATTGTTTCATTGTTTTGAGCAATAAAGTAGACTTCATGTCCTAAACTGATTCTGATATATTTAAAAAAAAAAAAAAATTTAAAGGAAATCTTTCATATGTTTGAAAATCTGGATTTTTTTAAAAAAAATCTTTCTCACTGTGCTGCCTGAAAACAAAGTCAAATCACATACTAGAAGTAATAGAAAAAAAAATATCAGAAACTGGGAATTGAGGGATGCCATATTGTAGTATAACCGTACAAATTAAGGAAAATAAGAATAGTAACTGTGGACATTTCATGTTTAACTGAGTTGCAAGAAACTTAATTTATTTTCTGGAGAAAAACTGCTTCTTCTTTACATTCAAAACACATCTTTATTCTTCTTCTCTGCCCAGCAGTAAAAGAATAATTGTTTTAGAAGATAGTCTGTTATATAAAAGAAAGAGAAGAACAAAACTGGAGTTAGAATAAAAGTGAATAGTATAACTAAGAGAAGAATTTATAAAAACAGATGTATTTATTTTCATGTTTTGTTTTGTAAATATCCCATATGTTCATACTAATAAAAGGCAACCTCATCAATTGAACTTGCTCATAATTTTTATTCTGCTACTCATTTAATCATCTCCAGTTGCCATTTCCTGAAAAGACATTGCATGTCAATTAAGAATGGTAGTAATTTCTGATGGAGCAGAGTAATTTGTAACAGAAGCAAAATTTAAAATACCATACTAAAATTATCAAAATTCATAAGGTACCAGATGTTCATCAGTAGGCTCCCTGTGTAGTAAAGCAGAATCTCACTATAAAATCAGAAAGTATGTAAATAATCCTGAAATAGTGAAAAATTTAATAAAGATATCTCATCAGCAGACTGATAAGAGTGGGAGTAATGTTATGCAAATTAAGCTCACAGTTCTTCTACATCAAAGAAACTATCAAAGCCAAATCAGAGAGGAAGGAACCACTACCATCTGCAATTCAGATCACCACTTCTGGTCTCATCATTAAACTTAAGAAACTTTGGGAGCATCCCACTATTAATTCTTAATGTTATTACCTATTTGGCTCTCATGCTAGAAGTTACTGAGAGCTTCTTAAGACTAGGGTCTACTCTTTTAAATGGCAGGACTAGCCCTTTCTGGAACTGTAAAGGAGAATGGATGCTGGCAGCTCACCTTTCTTTCTCCTTTTCCCTTGCCAGGTAAGAACAGGTAATTCTTACAGTCTCTTTTAAGCTCATGTCCAAGCATGGCAGCACCTACACAGCCACATCCTCTGCCATGAATTTCAGCTGTCCAGGAGTGCTATCACATAGCAGAGGCTTCCTGCAAACCCTGTATTTGTAGAAAACAAGAGCTTAGACCACATCATGGAGGTAAAGTACCAATGCTTCATAAAGCACCTGAAGAAGATCAGCTGCAGAAATACGGGAACCTAGCTGTGAAATTAACACTTGATCAAGTCTATGCAATTAAGATGCTTGTAGGGTTTGACATTAGCTTCCAAGCTTTGCCTCCCCACATTTTATTTTCATATGGATAGTGCTGTGTTTCACAGGAACTGTGAAAATAAGACAGGTTTTAGTTCTGGAAGGACCCCTCAAGTTAGCCGTCTAGGTAGCTGTGTAGAGAAAGCAGTTCTTTGCTACAAGAGGAATAAGGATATGCTTGTCAGAGTGTTTCCACCTCAAAGTGAGACTCTCTGAGCTCTTCCCTGTTGCCATTAATTGCTTAGTGATATTGCACCCACATGAGACTAATGTAAGGAAGCTTTTATTCTGAATTCTTATGTTAACAGTGGCTCTCCTGTGGCCATGAAAGAAAGTATTGATTTATGTGTTCTGCAGCAAGGTCTCAATGGTGTCAATAAAAAGGTAACTAAAAGTGCAAGATTCATCTCTGGCATCTTTAGCTATCTAGTAGAAATTGCCTCTGCCTGAAATTTTTATCTACCTATTTGATCTATACCTTATCAGATGTCATCTACCTCTATTATGATTCAGATATCATTAATTAAAAGCTAAGCAAGGAGCATATTCTGACAGCTGCTAACTCAGCAATGTTCAAATATTGATAGTAATCAGCAAACAAGATCAACTCTTTATATGGTGCTCTTTTGAACTAAAGAAGAGGCAGCAAAGGGAGATCCTTGGGTACATATCGGTACTTAGATAATTTTTGGACCTCTTTAGACATCCTTTTGCAGCCTGCTCTCAAATATGGCAGCTTACTAGAGAAAGACAAAAGTGTCCATGAAGCTGCTATGGTGGCTCCCAACCCCTTTTCCCCTCAGTGCCTCAAGAGCAGATAACCCACATCCCCTTCTTCAGCCATCTCTGTAGATGACAAGAGCCCTTGAAGATTAGTGCTTTCAGATTCTTCAGGATCACAAATCATCAAAAGGTCGTCTGGGGAAAAACAAAAAGTTGAATAACAAAAAATCTGAAAATACTATGCCTGGATTCCCAGGCAATCAGACAAGAAAATGGGATAAAAAGTAGAGTATTAAAGTGATATATAAATTTTAAACTAATTTAATTTGGTTATAAGTGAAGGCAGTATAATGTCTTCATAACCTTGTCTGTGGATTAAAAATACGAAACAAAACAAGACAAAACATGATCTTCCACTTTACAAAGGTCAAAGAGCCATGGGCTAGAGGACATGAATACACAACCCACATAGATGGATTTTTAGCTATGAAGCTTATACACAGCTTTGAAGGTTTGTTCCTTCCTAGGATTTAGGCAGAGGTAGCACATGTACAGTTGACAGAAAACAGCTCTCCCCAATTACTTAACAGTCAAGAAAGAAAAAGAAAAAAAAAAAAAAAAGAAAAAGAAAAAAGAAAAAAGAAAAAAAAAACCAAAAACACCAGCCCAGCTCACTGTGAAACTGACCTAGAAGAGCATAAAAATTAGAAATGGACTTTGATAGCACCTAAATGTAGACTATCTAAATTTACCTATAGACAAAGCTTGATGTTTCAAAGCTTCATTTTGATCTCCTGTAAGTGTGTAATTGATTCTCATAAGCTATTGAAATACTTAGATACTTTGTTGTTGTTGCAGACAACTACACCCACAAATGTTTACTGAAATATTAATTTATTTAACATTAATGAAAACACATTCAGTCATACACTGGTTCTAAGGTATGACTAGCTTTCTAAAGCTAGCTGATCCAAAAATTTCTGTAACAGGGAAAGGTTCTGTCTCTGTTGAAATATTTGACCATTTCTAGTTGTACCGCTGTATATCTTATAGTGATATTCTTAAATCAATATACAACCATTCAAATGTCATTAATCTTTCCATAGCCATGGTTGTTCTAGATTAAAAGAAGTCCTTTTAACGCAGATTAAAACTCCTTACAAAGTCATGTAGTATAAAATGGAGAAAATTTTCTATGTAAGTCATGGTGATATAAAAATTACCGTATAAATGGACATATTAGTACATTGTGCTGGTTTTGCATTAATTGACATTCGGTGAGAAGGGAAGAAGCCACCCGTGGAGATTTTTTTTTCTGGTAGGGGCTGCTAAGAGCTTCCTCTCTGCCTGGCAGAAACCAATAGCTGGCTAGCTCTGAGAATTGACAACCTACTGAACCATTTAGAATCTGGGTCCGCCTCTGTGAGAGTCACATTTTAAAGATGGGAAAGGCCGAGAAATTTCTTTCTTGGCTTCTGGCTTTTGCAGAAGTAACTGGGTGCTGGTCAGACTGGCCCCGTGCAGCCTGCACGGTCGGGCTGGGCTGGCCTCCTGTGGCCCGGCTGAGATTTTCTGAGGGGAGGTGCGCGGGCTGCCGAGCCCCTCACCGGGGAATCCACCGGGCCCATTCCCAGCGGGGCCGGGCCCCTTCCCGGCAGAGCCCGCCGGTCCTTTTCCAGCGGCACCGCCGGGCCATGCCAGCCAGAGGCTCTGTCAGCGCTGGGAG